GTATAAATTCATAATTTTTTGTTCCACATCCTACATGTATTTGTAAAATTCAAACAATTTTTTAACAATGCTTAATAAATCCCAGGCCCTGAAGATGTTCTCAATAATGATCGAAACGTTGGCACGTAAAGAAAATGTTTTTCTGAAACCTACATCACACCAGACCGCATCTCACGATCTCCGAATAATCATTAATTCTTAATTAAATTTACAAATTTTTCCTCCTCGAGAAAACCAACTAATGCGTCGACAAACTCAACAAAATGTGGAAAAACTTCCGGGTGCATCGGCTTTTCAGAAGGGCAATTAATACTATGGTTAATAATCGTCAGTAGTAACGATTACTGGCAGGCTGGAGGACATTGTAGTTCAAAATTAAATGAACCACCACTTGGGATGATGCTGACTGCATTTTTCGCGTACACAGTTCTAGGGATCTGCCTGAAGTTTGTATTTAGGTGCTTCATATTTAGCCACTTTTCTATTGATGGTATGAACTGTCTGGTCAGTGAATTTGCCCATTGCTCCTCCCACTGTCGTATACTGCTCATAGAAATATTCTCTCTCTCTATCTCTCTCTCTCTCTCTCTCTCTCTCTCTCTCTCTCTCTCTCTCTCTCTCTCTCTCTCTTCTGTGTGTGTGTCTTCAACAGGTACGTGAGTTTTTCGCGGCGGAGAGATTTATTGTTGTTAATTTTTTTTATTAATCTAAAACTGCATCAATTTATGCAATAAGAAAATAGCTTACAAGGAAATAACTTACGTGGCGTGTTAAACCACCCATCGATGACTATAAATTCATATAGGAGCTAGAGGGACTTTGTAAAGTTTTTTCTTTTTCTTTTTATGAATAATAAATTCAGCAGTTTTTTGTCTTTTACCTGTTGTTTAATTGTGCATTTTAGGTCGTGTATGTCAACTTTTGGCCATGCACAATCTCAAGTATTTGACGCGATCTGCCACAAGATGGAAGTATTTTGCGTGGGAGGATAAAGAACACATATATTGGTATTTTTTTAACCAGGGTATTTCATCGAATACGAGTTATATGTACCCTCGAGATGCTGGTGTTTTTGAAAAGAAGCCCATTTTTAAATACGCCGATTGAGTTGCCGTGCCTTAACTGTTGAGGCAACTGACGCTTCCAAATATTCATTTATTTTTATTCTGCACTTATGGAACCAACGTCTTAAGGTAAGGTGGAGGTCTTGGAAGGATCGAACTGTTGGGACAGGATCGATGTCTATAGAGAGGCTGTGTCGACAGCAACGGTAAGAGTATTGAGCGAAGTCTGTCATCTATATGCTGAAAAGTAACGGACGGAAAGAATAGGTCGAAGAGGTTGAGGTTCAATAGATAGAATGAAAAGAACGGTCAGACAGGATTTTTGGATGAGATAGTTATATAAATGAAAGATTTGAGTTTCAGAATAGGCCCTGGTAGCGATCGAACGCCCGGAAGGGAAAAACTGCTTTTGCCTTAGAGATTTAGTGATATCGTCTAAAACATGATGAATTTAGTGGGCTGTGAAGTGGCAATTACACAGCCAAATTGGTATCCAAAAATAATACTTTCTGTACTAAGTACTTTCACGAGGATAGGTCGGAGACTTGTAGGACGGTACGAGGAAACATTGCTAGCTGGTTTGCTAGGCTTGTAGACTATCAGAAAAATACTTTTAAATGTCAATTTTCTTGTAGCTCATGGCCTGTCGTAAGTTGACCCTTTGTTGGCCTCTTTTAAAAATTACCTTCTCCGAGGTACGTAATAGATATAAGTATTCCCATTTTTGTGGTAACTAGTGTCACATCTTTTTTCTGATTTGTGAGGTGTTTAGTGACCGTTAGTTAATGATTATTTGGAGATCGGGAGATGCGGTCTGGTGTGACGTAGGATTTAGAAAAACATTTTCTTTATCGTTCCAACGTTTCGATCTTTATAGAGATCATCTTCAGGGCCTGGGATTTATAAAATTGTTCAAGTTGTACAAATACATTGCTAGAAATTTTAGCATTGTATAAATTCACTTTTTTCACATCCTACATTATTTGTATAACTTAAACAAACTTATAACAATGTTTATAAATCCCAGGCCATGAAGATGATCTCAATAAAGATCGAAACGTTGGCACGATAAAGAAAATGTTTTTTTAAATCCTACGTCACACCAGATCGCATCTCACGATCTCCAAATAATCTTTTTTTTCTGATTGTTATCCTCATGATCCGTTGCATACATTTTTACACAATTCCAAATTGTTAAGAGCTAAAAAAATTAAACCAAAAATGCGTTCTTGAATGATAAATAGACTGTTCACTTTTATTATTTTTCCTCACAAGTAGTTAAGACATATCGCGTGCAAACTAATTTAGAAATTAAAGGCAGCGATTACACGAAAGTTCAGCCGCTTTTAATGATATTGGACAACTTTTGCAAGGAGAAAAGTCCAAATTTGTACAAATTACAAATTAATTCCTAAGAAAGAAATGAATGTACCAACATGTAAAATGAAAGGAAGGATGTTATTATATTTTAATAATGATTGTCTATAATTGAACGTCTTTAAAGGAAGACGATAAATCCTTCGATGTCCAAACGGGTTTTTGCAAAGAAGCTTATTAATTTCAATTTAATTGTATCCTGCATGTAGGTCGGATTGGTTAAATGAAACTATTTCTAGGAAACATCAAGAGAAGGTTAGCAGACCTGTAATAATTGTTAACAATCTTAAATGAAGAAAACCTTATTAGCCATCTCTAGGTGAAAAATAATTTATATTTGAAAGTCCCACCCGAGCAACGGTGTAAAGAATGAATGGGAAATAGATCACCGTGTAGAGCTTTCTCATCACTTTCAGTAGGCAAAAATGACAGAGATTTATCCACAAATGAATGGCATGTCGTCCGTGGAAACACTATGCATGTCGTAGAAGTTGTATTTGTAGTTTTTTTTTAAACTGTGAATAGAAGTGCATTACGTGTTTTTAACTTAATAATATTGCAAAATTTGAATATAAATGGCATTCATTGTGATAGGAGTTTTTTTTAAATGATGTCTCATCATTAATTTATTAAATTAGCTTAATTATGTTAAAGGTTTTTTTTATTTTATCACACCCTCTGCCCAAAGAAATACAACACACAAGCGCGAAATAAGAGAAAAAGAAGGAAAACACGAAGAGGGCCGGTGATGACCTAAGCTATTTGCGGGCCCATAAATTTCCCACTTTATTATTATTGTTATTATTACAATACACAATTTTTTTACATCTCATTTTTTTCTTACTTGAAAACTCTTCGGTTCCTCGTTTTTCTTAGTTGTTTTATTGAACATTTTCAAACAATTAATTTTTTTATTTTTGGTTTTGCATTTTGCGGTTTAGCTGGTTGTCCCCTGATCAGACTCTATTGCAAAAATAAAATCACTGTCAAATTTCAAAATTAACAATTGTACCACATTCAAACCCTACTCAAAGGTAACAATAAACTCCTGTTGTGGACCTGTTATCATTATTTTACACATATGTAAACATTGATATCACAATTATTTTAGATACACTGATTTTTCTTTTTCTAAACAATTAACCGGTGCTTAAAATAATAAACAAATTTCATCAATAATTAGCCTACTTAAATTGTTTGTATTATATATGCAGATTATTTTACATTACAAATTTTTACGTTTTATGATATTATCTATGAACCCCTTTTGTATTTCCACGAAAAATCAATAATACAACATATATGACTTAATACTAAAATTAATAAATATTCTGTCATAATCAAATAAATATTAATAACTATACCAACGCCAATAATAAAATTTTAGTCAATTATTCTTTCTTCTCATCATAACCGAGTACTTTTACATGATATTTTTTTAAAATATTTTATACCAACTTACTACATTTTTGGAGTACGCACAAATCTTATTGGTGACTCTGTAAATTATCGTTGTTTTCAAAGATGTTTACGAAAACAGACCACATTAATTTTTGTTAATTTCTTTCTTTAATTTTGAATTTTGCATATAATCTTTTCAATTAATTAAGGTTTCGGTTGAGATAAAAAGTCAAGATAAAAAGATAAAAAGTAAAAAGTGTCACGAGGGGGATTCGAACCCACGACCTTCGGCTAAATACACCGCTGCTCTACCACTTGAGCTATCGTGACTTCGATCCACTCGGACACTAACTTCCCGTCTCAACTCCACCTTTTGAATTTTCGCTCCATTTTGCCATTTTTCAATTCCAAAGATGATGGAAAATTCAAAAGGTTGAGATGGGAAGTTAGTGTCCGAGTGGATCGAAGTCACGATAGCTCAAGTGGTAGGGCAGCGGCGTGTTTAGCCGAAGGTCGAGGGTTCGAATCCCGCTTGTGGCACTGATTTTTTTATCTCAACCAAAACCTTAAATAATTGAAAAGAATTTATTTGGTCACGCAGACCACGAAACCTAATAAAATGTTTTGTTTCTATTATGTGTTGAGAAAGGTTTTTACGTCCACAATGGTTTGAATTTTAATTTTGAATTTTTGTGTCAGTAGTTTCAAAATTTTATTTGTATTTTATTATTATAAGATCTGGGAGCTGAGCCTTGAAAGAATAACCAAAAAAATAAACAAATTAATTGGTTGGATAAGTTCAATAAAATATGTAACTATGCTAAAAAAGTTCTCTGGGTCAATAAATTTTAAGCTGCACTTTAATAATGTGCAGAAATATATCACAAATCTTGAAAGAAAATATCAGCAGTATTGTTTCGAATCTACATTAAGATTCTTGTGAAATATGGATCGACCACTTTTCAAAGAACTAACAATTTCAATAACCCCCTAAACAACTGAAATTAGTTTAAATTTATCTTTGATTTTCCTGGGATTTTTTTAATTTTTCCGATCAATCATGCAAGTTTGATGGACGTCTTTGGTCGTACCAATTTTGAAGACGGTGACTGTAAGTCAGTAAACAAGCCCGACGAAGTATCTCCAGGGGGAAAGTAGCGTCAAAGTAGGGATAAGAAGTGGAAGAGCCTTGGAGGGGAGAAGCTACTCGGCTCCAGTCATGCAAGTGTCGTGAGGATGAACAGGTATTACGAAGGATACCCGGCTCGACGAAGTGCCGCCACCATGCTCACACTGCCGCCGCCCCCGCTCACGGATCCCGGGGCCACGTGGGCTTCGTACACCTCGGAACCCGTCAGATCTCCGGAGAGGTTCAAGCCCGAACGAAACCGCCATGGCGTCAACCTACAAAAGCTCCAGTGGAGGAACTCCAACTGGGTCGATGGATTCCCCGAGATGGTCTCCTCAATGACAATAGCAGATGTGTCACCGCGGTTCGCGGTCAAAAGGATAATCCTCCTGTACGAAAACACCCAGTATAGAGAGGCTGCCAATTTTATAAACCGACTCAGTCACGGGACTTTCAAGACGATCCTGAATCAACTCCCGATCGACCTATTCATCGAGACGATGCCCCATTCGGTGAGCATCCTGGAGGCCCTTTACGCCAAGGTGTTCCTCTCTTCGGACTGCGGCATCCGCGTCCTCCGGCCGGAAAGTGTGCTCATGCAGTTGGTGAAGCTTTTCGCCGGCACCGGATCCCCCGAACGATGGCTCGGCAGTGCCAGGAAACTTCTCAAAGTCATCGTACTCTCCGAACCGAAGCTGAAAAAAGCCCTGCAGGTGAAGAGGCGCGCTTTGGACAAAGCCGTCGAAGGGCTTGGGCAACACGGCCTCGTCGGGACGACAGACGAATCCCTCACGAATCTACACGACGCTCTCAAAGTCGAGTTCCAGAGGCTCGTCGACACGTACAAGACGGCATTATCGAAGCTCGAAGAACTTTCCCTGTCTGGGAAAAAAGACGGAAAACCGACAGCGCCGATACAGGCCTCGCACCAAAGGCAGTTATCGCTCACCCAATCGTGCATTCAGGAAAGATTGATTAAAAACAAAACTTTACTGAACGTCGTCGAGCCAGCAACCGCGAACAGGTCCGCCGCGATTCTTCTCGCCATCCTCCAAAGACGCGTTGAGTGCGACAAAGACGCGTTATTTCAATTCACTCAATTGAGAAAAGAGCTCAAAGTAGAAAACGAACAAGTGGTCGCTCCACTTTTAATGAGATATTCACATGCTTGCGATCAGGTAAGAATATAAAAATTATATTAACAAATTCCTACGTTCACTATTTCTCTATCATCCATAGACAAAACTAAATTAACTCAAAATTCCCAAAATTTTCACATAAATCGATAACTAGCCATTGAAATGGCATGTTTTAAATATAATGTATTATGATCAATTAAAAAACAACTTTTCCAATTTTATCTTAAAATTTTTTCATGAAAATCTACACCCATGTAAACTATGTGGCAGTTAAAAACAATTAAATATGACCCAAACTACTATTCCACAAAATATATCAACAAATAAGAGTTAATCTTTTAGAAAATGAACAGAATAACTTTTAAAGATTAAAAACTGCATGTTGTTGCTACAAAGCATGATAATCTGAAAACAAATTATCTTTCTTCTCAATTAATCAAACAGAGTGTGTAATCATAAAAAATAGAGAATCCATAAAATATTAATTACAACAGACAAACGTGTTATATCGACTTTTTAAAATTAAAATTTCTCATGTATTTATTTACCTTTATAAATAAATAGAAATGAAAAATCCCGCTTCTCTTTTAAATTCATTGTCGTGCCTTTGCCATTAAACCTATGGACGTGTGTAATAGAAATCTCGGATAATTATTCGTTTCGAAAATAGCTGAAGATGGGTTTTTGTAATGGACGATTTTAAACACTCCACTCTCACGCTATACTTTCATTGTCGTAACGTTTTACATTCATCATTATAAACTTACGAATATCCTGAGAATCAAATTGGCCAGAGGTTTTAGAAAAATTTTTGGAACGATTGTGATGGAAGAACTTCTTCTATGCATTCTTCTATTCAGAGTCTACACGAATTGTCGAAAATTGTCTCGGATAATTTGAGTAGGAATAGATAAATTAGTAAAATAGGAAAAATAAATAATTAATTAGATATTTTTGTTTATAATTTGAAATAATTTCTATTAAAAAATGAAACTATTTTTAAGTTTTAAAAGTTCCTCGTAAATCGTTTCATTGGGCGTTAAAGCCAAGGATTTTATGAAATTACTTACCTAGACCATAAAAAAAGCCATCGGGCTAATCTCAATTTTTAAATAACCTCTTAAAAGATAATAAAGAAAAGGGTGTAATTAAGTCGAACGAAAGTTTCTCAGGTGCTTACAAGCCAGAAGAGGAAGGAAAAGGAACCGGTGGCGGCATTAGTGGGTCAATTATCACCGTGGTCTTTTTGCAACTTGTGCCGTACAAGTCGGACAAAATCTCTAATTACGCCGAATGTATAATACTGTGGTGTTTGGTCCGGTTCACCAGTTTAACTGAACATAGTGGAAAAATTATGGATACTATGAGACGTTGCGGATTGGGTTGATTAGAATCCATTTTGTCGGAGCAGAATTGCCATAATGTGAATAATGTGTATGCTTGGATTAAAAAAGTTCAGAATGTTCTCTGGGTCCGCCTTTTCTCGCTTTAATCATTGCTGGATCAAGGTATGGTCATGAAGAAAAGAGCAATTTTTGTTGCTACTGCCAAGCTTTCTTTAAGACCATACCTTGATCCAGAGTGTCGTAACTGAAAAAGTCATCTATACTTCGAATACTGCAATCATATAATCACATGCCAGAGTGATTTTGTGTTTAGAAAAACCTAGGCTGTCGTTTAGTTTAAAACCGATATAACTGGTGAGTAACCTTTGAAATTATCTACTAAAACAAAAGATCAGCATATATAGCACGAGATCAAATATGACCAGTACATTATATACTCAAAGACAAAAAAGTCTCGATCGTAGAGGAAAGCGGTGTAGAGTTCTAGAGACGAACGATTTATTGCTTCCTTGTAAGGTAGTAAACTCCAAACGGTCCGTAATGTAACGATGAACTCTAAAACAGAAGTTTAGTGAGAATAGCTCAGTCCTGCATCAGGTTATACACTACTATGCAGGCATCGAGCAGAAAGGCTATTCGCAAATCAATATTTCGCTTGGACTCTTGAAAAATGGGGGGCTGTTCTGGTTTGTGGCAATCAGATGACCGGGACGCGTGTGATGACCTTATATACTACTGGGCAGACATCGAGTAGAAAGGCTATTCGCAAATCAGTATTTCGCGTGGTTTCTTGAACAATGGGGGGGCTGTTCTGGTTTGTGGCAATCATATGTCTGGGACGCGTGTGATGACTTTATATACTACTGGGCAGACATCGAGTAGAAAGGCTATTCGCAAATCAGTATTTCGCGTGGTTTCTTGAACAATGGGGGGGCTGTTCTGGTTTGTGGCAATCAAATGACCGGGACGCGTGTGATGACCTTATATACTACTGGGCAGGCATCGAGTAGAAAGCCTATTTGCAAATCAGTATTTCGCGTGGGTTCTTGAACAATGGGGGGCTGTTCTGGTTTGTGGCAATCAGATGACCGGGACGCGTGTGGTGACCTTATATACTACTGGGCAGGCATCGAGTAGAAAGGCTATTCCAAAATCAGTATTCGCGTGGATTCTTGAACAATGGAGGGGCTGTTCTGGTTTGTGGCATTCAGATGACCGGGACGTGTATGATGACCTGGAGAACGCTTTGCTCCATGTATTGCGGGACCTGTTAGCCTTTCAAAGACGGTCAGTTATGGTGTGGGGTAGAATCAACGTCCATTCCCGTACAATACTGATTATCATGCAGAATGGATATTTGACTGTACATATTAAGGAAATTCTTCATGGAAGCTGTGGTCCCATTCTCAACTTATTGAGAAAAACTTTTGTTAATGCTGATAATGCTCGACTGTATGTAGATCGAGTTGTCACCTACTACTTGCAAGATGTTGGAATCACCACAGAATTGACCAGCATGTTCTCCTGACATAAATACCATAGAACTTATGGGAGATGATACAGTTTACACATAGTTCACCGTCTCCAACAGCTTCAAACCGCTCTTGTTATAGGGATTCAGTTTCACAAGACGAAATTTTACCGATTATGATTTTCCGTTGTTTTAGGGAATTTTCTTTCAAAACTTTTTCTTTGACTGCGGTAAAAATATATATTAAGTACTGTGTAAGTGAACTTTTTTTAAAAGACATATCCTTCTATTTTTACGCTGCCTATTTTATTGTAAAACTAAACACTGTTCCAAAGGTAATTTTTCAGGTAGAACCTGCTGGTACTAAAACCTTTTTTTAATAAACTGGTGCGTTAAACCGACCTAGTGATCTACTGTTTTAAAATTGTAGTGCCTTATTTTTTCACACGTTTTATAAGTCCTTTCCATTATTAAAAAAATATATCAAGAACTCAAAAACCGATTCGTTCTGAAAATATTGAAGTTTTCCTTCAGAATCAATAATTTCAACTTATCGTTGTATAACTGATTAAAAAAGGAGGAAATTTTTAAATTGTTTTAAATAAAATATGAAAAAGTTAATTTGTGTTGATTGATGTAAGCATAATTTTAAACAATACCAATCAGTCAGTTACTTGATAAAAAGAAATTATCGAGTTCTGAAGGAAAAATTTAATTTCCTCAGGACCCATTATGGCAGTGACATTCAAAACGTGAGAAAATAGGGTAATAAATTTTTAAAAAATTTCAAGTTAGCGCTCTTATTAAAATTTTAATAGCACTAGCATGTTGTGAAAAATTACCTTTTCAACTATGCTTAGTTTCACAATAAAATAGGCAGAATAATAAAAGGCCATTATATAAAACCCATATGGCATATATTATCATTTAAAAAATACACAAAAAAAACCCAGATATTTTGGTTATAAAATGCACTGGTCATATTCGTTCTGATATGATAAGATCTAAATTTTTCATTTTATTACGCTTGGTCCCGCACAGTTCGAAATTTTGTATAGTCATATTACCTTTTAAATTAATAAATAAAATTTCATAATGTTTAAGAAGGGATTTATTCCTTGGACGTTCTAAACTATAAAATATGTAGTTATATACCCATAAGGATACCTCAAATGTCTAAAACCAAGCTTGGTATGTTCATTTATCTGTGAGCAGAAGCTATAAAATATATATTACAATATAATGTTTATTTACATAAAGAAGGTCGAAAAAGCGGCATCGTGAGAAGTTAATCGAAGTCTGAGATTCGGTCGTCATGATGGTCTATCATGATTCTTCATAAATGTACACTATCTTCCGTCGGTTTCTCAAAAGAATTCTATAAGGTTTTTTCTCTCTCTTTCTAAAACGACAAAATCCCGATAGTCAACCTTGAAAGGAATAGCATCCGATCATCCGTTCGTAAAGACGTAACGGTACAAATGGGAGGATAATTCTACGGTGATCAAGTGACAAAAGGACACGTGATGAATAAAAGATTACCCGCGGTTCCCTGCCCGATTTGAAATGAACCCTTTTCACCATTGCACGTGTATTAAAATACATACGCAAAAATGAACTTGATAATTACGCCAACCTTGACCTCTACTAAGGTTTTCAACCCCCCTTTCCCTTCGACTTTTAGGAAGTTTCCATGTTCTATTTTCTCTCCTAACGGAGAATGTAATCGGTCAGAAGATAAAATCGCGAGTCAATTTTCTAAAATTCGATTACAGCCTCTCAGGAAGGAACACAGCTGGATCTGGACGCATAAACACATAGCATGTAAAGCACTTTCCCCTCTCGACCGCACGGAATTACCTGCTTGCCGCCTGTTATTACATATTTAAAAAACCTGCTCCGGGGAATTTAAAAGGAAAAAGTCCATGCCAATAACCAATGGATTGGGGAGAAAAGTGAGATCCCATAAAAAACAGGTTCCTATACTTTCTTTGTCCTTCTAATTAAATATATACAATTTTCCAAGTCGAATGACATATTTGGCACATATATGATTTTTTATATTTCGACCTCGACAGTTTAACTTATGATTTTTCCTTCTCGAAGGTTGGATAATAGGTTATCTCAAAAAAACAACAACCAGTTTTTCTTTCAATCCACAACGTTTCGGATTTATTTTAATCCTTCCTCAGGTGGGTTAACGCAGTGGTCAAAAACGTGGG